TTACAAACTGATATAGGTCAGATAACCTTGTGTCATATGTACTCAAGAAATTTCAAACTGTTCTAGGAATATTTACTGTTCTTACTTGGGTTTTGGGTAAGTTTTTATTATATCTCTATAATTCATCTTCAAATGGTTAGTTGCATACCTGGCTCATAGGAAGGGTGTATATTTAGTATGGAATAGCATTTGGGTTTACTGCATAGTGCATAGTTGTGGGAAAAAAAGAGGATCTAGACAAGAAGATGAAGGAGGAGGTATAAGAGACAGAGAACAGTAGAAAAGGAACACTGGATATAGAGAGAAAACTAGAAAGAGACTGAAGGAGAGCACTTACCATGGAAATGAGTCTAGATTATTGTTTGCCAAATTGTTCACTAGCTTTGACTAAGAATGTTTCAGTGAAGTGATTTTTAATATAATTTCATTTGGATAGGCCTTTGCAAACCAATTTTTAAAAATGCTAAATTGAGTCTGAGAAATGTTGTTCTTCTTTAAAGCACTTTTCAAATGAACGATTTTGTTCAATTCTGAATTGTAGGCATTAAAAGCCAGATGAAAAAACTTGAAGTTTCTTTCATTGTGCACAAGTTTTTTTAAATTCATGTAGTCTCAAATGTTTGTTTTATTTTGTTTTTCTTGCCATTAGAGATGAATCCATAAAGATATCTATATCATGGAGAGTTTTGCCTATGCTTTCTTCTATGTATTTTATAGTTTCAGGTTTTATATTCATGTCCTTTATCTCTTTTGAGTTGATTTTTGTGTATGTTGTGAGATGGTTTCCTAGTTTTATTCTTTTACATATAGCTGTCCACTTTTCTCAACAGTTGTTGAAAAGGCTTTCCCTGCTACAGTGTATATTTTTAGCTCATTTGTATAGATGAACTATTTATAGAGGTGTGAGTTTATTTCTGGATTCTCAGTTCTGTGCCACTGGTCTTTGTTCCAGTACCATACTGTTTTGATTAGTATATCTTTGCAGTATATTGTGAAGTCTGGGAGCATGATACTATCTTTCTTCCTTTTTTTTTTTTTTAAATCGGATACTATTTGAGATTATGCCCCAAACTTATTGGTAGCCACCTCCAAATTAAACAACATATACCTCCAGACAAGTGGAGGAAAACCGGAGAGAGTTTTATGAATCAAAACCAAATTCTCAGGCCAAAAAAAAAGAATAATCCTTACTAGTTTTATTGCTGACACAAAGCAAAATTTGCCCAAGTAAATGCCAGGCCAATAAGAACTGCAATAGTCAGCTCAAAAAAAAGGTACAAAAGAGCCTATCCTTTTGTTCTACTATGTAACAAAGATACTTTTGGACAACATAACACAAAACAGAAGCATAAGAGAGTAAAAAAGAATGAAAAGGAATGACCCAATTCCACCAAAGATGCCAAACAAATGGGAACCTATGACAAAATCTGAATATCACATTGAGACTAAATAACAAAAAACTCAAAAGCAAAGAGAACAGAGTTCAAAACCAATGATGACTTGCCAGAAAAATTCATGCATGATTTTTTAAGTGTTAAGACATAAGAGGCCTCAAAGGGTATCACACCTCGTTGAAGACTGGGGTCCATGGTGATAGTGCACACAGTATCTCAGTGGAGACTTCAGAAAAACTGCAGAAAAAAACTTAGGCGACTCAAATGCCAGCAAACAGAGGTTATTCAGAACTTGCTATAGCAAGTCACCATCACTTATGTTTGGCAGATACTCAAAGCAAGACAAGGAAATGGGGAAACTTTATAGTAAAAGTAAAGGGAAAGTTACAGAAATGTTCTGACTAGATCTTGGTGCCATGGGACAACTGCAGACAGGCTAATCTAGAAGCAGGGCATTTTATGGTTGGCAGAGCATATCTGACTTCCTCTGATTGATCCTGAGTTGGGAGCAGGGACAACAATTGAAAAAGCTGGCAGTCAGATCAATTTCTGACTTTTCTGGGCCATGTGTTATTGAGGCAAAAACTAGCTTCCTGAATTATCTGCTACAGAGATTCTAAGTCAAAGGTCTATTGTCACATGTGTTTTGGCCACAATCTGCTTATATATATTCAGTCTCTCTCCCTGGAAGCTTGGCATTGTAGATATTTTAAAAAGCTGGCTGATGGACTATAGTTCACTTTTTTAGTTGTTGAGCTAAGAGTTATACAATAGAATGTTTGGTCATACAACATTTTAACTTTCTATTGCACCTTTAAATATTTTCTTTCTGCCTTCTCTCCTCAGTGCAAATTTGTGGCCCTGAGAGTCTAGTTGCCTAAGGTCATTCAATGGATTTGGGATAGAATTAGGATTAGATCATAGAATAGAGTGATTTGTAATATACCACTTGTATCATTTGGTGCAGGTATAGTCTACAACAGCTTTAACATTAATATTTTGGGTTCTGGGCTGCCCTGATGGTGCAAAGGGTTAAGTCTTAACACTATGAAACTACACATGTTTGATCCCAGAGCTAGGGAGCTGACCTGGCTCAACAGACCTCTCCTGTCTCGCCTGCTACTCCCCTCAGCAATACATTTCAGTTAATCACCTATTCTGCTCCCCACTCTGTCTCTAGTGAATCTTCTTACCATAGCCTCCCACCCCACACCTCTGGCCTACACCCCAGCTCTTGTATGCAAAAAATAAATCTTAAAAATAATTTTTTTGGCATCCTATGCTATGATAAAGGACCTGTTCCAAATGCTTCTAACTTCATTGCTTAAAGTTAGAATAAAGTCTTGAAGGGTCTTAATTCCCTTCAAATACCTACAAGGCTGTCATGTGGAAGAAGGATTAGGTTTATTACGATGACCCGCAGGGCAGAACTCACATTAGTGAATGGAAGAAAGGCAGATTTCAGTTTAGAATGTAAAATATCTTTTTAAATGTGAGATACTTGCTTCCAAAATAAGGGGTTGCCTTGTGAAAGGTACACTTCCTCATTTCTGTTTTCAACTTTTAGCCAGTCATGTTTCAGTAGGATTCCATGACCCTATACCTCTAGACAGTACCTGAACTAGCCAGGTCAACTAACCTCAAAAGTTTTCATAGCCTGGACCCTCCCTGGTGGCGCAGCGGGTTAAAGCACAGCACTAAGAAGCTACAGCCACTACCACATGAGTTCGATTCCCGTCTGCCCAGGAGGAGATCCACAGGCGAGGCAGACCTCTCCTGACCCGCCCTCTGCTCCCCTCAGCAGTGTACTTCGTCACTCTGCCTGTTCTGCTCCCCTCTCTGTCTCTGGTGAATTCTCTTACCCTCCACATCTCTAGCCTGTACCCCAGTTCCATATGAATAAATAAATCTTTAAAAATAAAAGTTTTCATAACCTTCAAGTTTGTGGAATTTTGTTAAATTCTGAAGAAGCAAAGATATTTTAAATATAGCAACTTAAAATCATTGAAGTTCTCAATGAAATGATTATGTTAGTTTCTCAAAAACAATATCATTAAACTTTATCCCTAGACTCTTGTTTAAATGAGTGTCTGTGGGTATTTGGTAGTGGGTGTGGTGGATAACATACATCTGAGAAAGTGTGAGCCTATTCCCCTAAGTCATATATAGTGTTGTAAACCAATGTTACCTCAATAAAATAAACAAATAAAAAATTAAAGCAGTATTTTCATCCTGTGTTCATACATCTGTAACGACATTTTAAACTGAAAATTGCCTTAGTAAATCATAATGCAATCTTCCATCAGCATTGATTTCTCAGTATGCAGTTATAAAACTACATACCCAGTAAACTGTATTCATTTTTTAATGTTTTAATAAATTTCAGTGAGATTTAAAGGAAAACTCCCTTGGAAGAGCAAGTACTAAGATCTTAATCTATAATCTTAATTCTTTGAATAAATCTTTTTCTCCTTATTAATATCCCTTCCAGTTGAATGCAATTTTACTCTTTTCTAGCTTATAAGCAACTTGAAGCTAATAAAACAGCTTCTACACCTAAACTGTAATTGACTTTTTCTCCAAAGACATCCAAGCAATTACCCTGCCCTTTATCTGTACCCTTTCACTGTTTAAATCCAATCCCCTAATTTTTGCCAGAGAGGTATTTCCCTTCATAGACAGGCTGTAGTTTCTGTCTTTTGCAAAACAATACAGAATTCTAGGGATACTCTCAGAACATGAGAAGTCATTGCAGAGGCTGCCAGGCTAGAGGCTGGAGCAAGGAAAAACGCCCTGTGCATAAATTCAATTACTCCAAGTCGTCCTTACAACTTCCGGGACCAGACTTCAGGCGATCTTCCGATTTGTTCTTTTTACTACATTCATTTTTTTTTTATGACTGTACATATTTACATACGGACACATATGTCGAAGGAGAGTGAAAGCGATGACGTGAGGCTCCGGTTGGAAAATAGGAGGTGATACGGAAATACAGCAGGTTATCTGGGAAAGGGTTCTTGGGAGGGGGGAACTGAGAGTTAATAACCATCACTCAGATGAGCCGGACTTCTCTGCAGGTAGACTGGAAAAGCGAACTCGTGTACCCTCTTTGGAGGCGGGTTCCGCTGCTTTCTGTTTCTTCGCTTCAGGCAGGGTGCACACAGATTTGAAAGGGACTGAATGTTCTGCTCTATGGTTGGTCAGGTTGACTCAAGTGGATATCTCTGTTTAATGTCTCCAATGTCTTATCTTTCTTTCTTTCTTTTTTTTCCTTCGGGGTTGAGGAGGAAGTAATCGGTTAAAATTCTGGTTGGGTAAATGGGGGATTCTCCGAAATGAAGGGGAAGGAAACGGATCAAGAAGCCTGAAAGCACTGCAAGAGACCCCCCTGTGCCCCCGTATCTGCGGCCCCCCTAACTCCGGCAAGTAACCCCCAGTGGAGAGCCCAGAAGGCTGCATCAATATTTGATCGGCCCTTCGCCAGTGCGTCGCTAGCACTCGCTGGCGGGTTTCCGCCAGGTATCGCGCGCGCCGCGCTGAAGCCCCCGCCCGGGCCCGCGAGGGCTCTCCAGGACTGGCTCGGTGCTTAGCCTCCTCCACAGGGAACCTCTGCTTCGCAGCGGAGCGCGGTGCCCACCATGCGGGGTTGCCCGCGACTCGCTCTGCTCTGCGCGCTGCCCTGGCTCCTGCGGGCGGCGGCGCCCGGGCACCCAGTGCAATATTCCCAGCTACGCGGCGACCCCCTAGAACCAGCCCGAGGCGCCGATTTCGACCGCGTCTACAGCGGGATAGTGAGCATCAGCACCGAGAACATCTACTCCTTCAACTACACCAGCTGGCCTGGCCAGGTGAGACACTTGTTTTTTTTTTTTTTTCCGCTCGAATACAGGAACTTGCCAGATCTCAGACCCCATTGATGTATTTGTTCCCCTGGGATTCGACCTCAGAAACCCGGGGACCTTCTTTCTTTTTGCAAACCAACCACTGCTTCGCCCAGCCACAACGTCCGTTTCCCGGTGGTGCCCCCCCTAGTTGGCCTGGTGGCTGCATTTTGGGGCTTTGCTGAGACTCGAGTTGCCCTCACCAGGTTCAGGTCCTGCCCTCCCCCCCTTCTCTCCCCCCCCCCCCGTCGTCAAGCCGACCCCCAATATACATTTGCTGGGTCTTTCTCTAATAAATTCAGGATTTCTAAGGTTGCAGAGGGAAAGGACAGCACCTCTATTCCTAATGCCTTGAGGGGAGGAACCTCATTTCACTTGGATGATTCAGCCAGACCCTCTATTTTATTGCTCTTGGGGAAGGAGAGCTGCTTATAATCTAAAGTGGGAATGTGTGAGAATGGACGCAAGCTGCAGAAACTGTGTATACAATAGTCATTTCCTGCTTTTCTGTACCATTATCACATGGATGTGCTTCAGGGAAACCAGTAGACACTGTCCAAAGACCTTGAAACTGCAGCCATCAGCTGATCTACCAAGGTTTTCTATTTTAAATAAGATGGATAAATGTGTGAAAGTTCTAGACCTATTTCTGAGGAAACTAAAGTGAAGGCAAGAAATGACTGTTCAGTAACCATCTCTTGACATACAATACACATTGACTGTGTAGCCTCAAGAAAATGCATACAGTTAGCCTTTTCCCCCAATAAGATACCTTTCTGGAGCAGAGAGAAAAGAGAAAATTCTCCAGTGTGCAGGTCTCTGGAACGTCTCTGATATAAATGTATCATATGTACCACTTATTACGCCAACATTCTGACACCCTCAGGAAATTCCAGAACCAGAAGATTAGGAGACCACCATATGCCTCCCCCTCTCATTTTGGATCAATACTTAGCTGGAGAGAACAAAACTGCCCATCTCCTGTCTGGAACCAAATCCTAGGGCACTTGTCACCATGGCAGCACCTGTCCCTTCCTCTGCTGACCTATAGGCTGTGTGTCCTGATGCAGGCAGAGCAGCTGTGGGCAGAGCATTTCCTGTGTAGATAAGGAGAGGGCAGTCTTTATGCCCCAAACTTGATCTCACAGACCTTCTACTGACCAGTGGGTTCTGTCCGAGTAGTGTGGACCAGTTGATACTACACACAGTACACTCTATACCTATGCTTGGCTCAGAAACAAATAAAAATTTGGAACAGCTCTTGACTTCTGCACTATACTATCAGTTCTCTCCTAAGCCACTGGTGAAGGAACTCAAATGATGTGCGCAAAGTAAGTGCTGGCATCTTTCCCTCCTACTTAGAGAGAGAGACTTTTTATAATGGGTGTTTTGACCTGTTTGTTCTTAGTGCTCAGTGAGACTGGGCACAGGTTGCACAGTCTGCAGTAGGGACTCACCAGCTGGTCTATCCTAGAAAACTAAGATAGTGAGCACAGGGCAGAGTCAGGCTTATCTCTACCCTGGTATACCCTAGCACAGTGTTTGGCACGTAAGAGGTTAACTGTTTTTGAAAAAAGGAATAAGTAAAGAAAGATTTAAGGAGTCCTTAACTGGAGATACTTAACTATTTTATTTATTTTAGACAATATATATATTGTCTTAGTAGCGGAAAAGTGAGATTTTAGTTAAAAACATTTCATGAAAAATTGTCATGAAAGTCAAAAATTTAAAAAATTATTCTGACATGATGCCCTTTGCCATTTTGTATGTGTGTTGAAATGTTGTTTCTTTTATAAAACAGTGGTTATAAATGTCTTTGTATAATAATGATAAAAGTTGACAACTCAGTAGTCCATAAAAATTTACTAATCTGGCCCTCCCTGGTGGTGCAGCGGGTTAAAGCACAGCACTGAGAATCTAAAGCCGCTTCTGCATGAGTTCAATTCC